CATGCTTAATGAAGTAAATATGGAAAACCAACCAGATGAAACTTACTGCTACACAAGTTAAAGCTGTCAGAACGCCTGAGAAAAAACCTCCTCCTTGAGGATTAATTCTTCCTGTGTTCCGAACTGTAGGCATCTGGTCATTCCCATATTTTTGGAAGGTTGCTAAGCTGCGTGCTACATCACTGTTTTGTAGAATATCTTCTTTTCTTTGTTCAATGGCATCAGAAAATAGCTTTTCAATAACATCCCTAATGGGAAAAATATTTGTCACTGTACTATAACCACTGAGACTTAATATTCAGAAAAGGGACATATTTGGTGGGTTTTGTTTTCCAGCCTCTGCTTGAGACTGTCATCTTTGAAAGCAAGAAAACATTAATTATTAATACTTAGCAGACTTGAATCAATTATTTCCAAACAAGATTTTTTTTAGCTTCTAAAGATAAAGGAAATGAAAATATAGCATTAAAAAAATTCCTTCTTTCTTACATAAACTAGGACTCTGTGTGGCACTGGCAGGCTTTGTTTATTCAAAAATGCTAAGTAAAAGACAACATAAAATCCTACCATCAATCGTACAATCTATTTACTAAAATATTACTAACCTAAGAGAAAGTATTATTAACACAAAAACTTGTGGGTAATTCATGACAGCAAATTGGTATTTCTAGCTTTGTTCTGCAGTCAGATCACATTTCTTCCCATAGATAATTCCTATTACAGAAGTAAATATACAATTATCAAAGATCACTCTAACTTAGAATTATTAGGAAACAACCAGCTATATATAAAAGATGCAAATGTCTCAATACCAAATAAGAATCCCTTCTCTCCATCACCCCAAAAAACCCAGGATAAAATAAAAAAAACAAACCCAGAGCCCCAGACACAGCCAACCAACCCACCCCTTAGTTCCATGCAGAAAAGTGTGCCTGAACAGATCAGTACAGGTGCAGAACATGAGAAACTTCAGGATTTAAACATCCCTGTGACAGTCTGGATTACCAATAAACTATGAAAATGTGCAGCAAACTCAAGAAAGCAGATGAGTTCTGAGGGTTTTAGAAATCCAGAAATGGCACAGTACACTCACCTAAAGAGGATGTTGACTTTGGGGAATCCTTCCCATTTTTCTCTGCATTCAGGACATTCATTCTTCTTGGAAGACACCCACCACAAAGCTAGGCAATGTCTGCAGAAACTGTGCCCACAGTTCAGGGTGGTGGGATTGACCATAATGTCGTAACAGCAGTGGCAAAGGAACTCACTCACTGATATCCGCCGACTGCCCTCAGGAGCAGCATGTGTCTCAACCTCTGCCCTCTCTGTTTCACCTTGCAAAGTCTCATCTTCTTCCATCTTCTTTTATGCCTTGTGCAAACAGAAAGCTCTCTTAGATCTTCAAAGCAGGTAAGGAATTACTTCTGCCAAGCAACAAGATAAACCTTCTCAAGAAAGATGAGAATTGCAAGCAGTATAATTTATCGTCATTCTTTTGTCACTCTGATGGTTTTAAATAACTAACTTAGCTCTCCCAAAAATAAAACATGACCTTCCCTTTTCAACAACATATTCATTGCAAGCTACAATCAAAATCCAATTCTACATGTAAACAGCAGGGCTCAAATCTCCCTGTATTTCCTGTGTTACAGGACACATGAAAGTGAAACAAAAAACTATGATTCAGATGACTTTTGACAGTTATTTTTAAGCAAAGTTTTAGTAAAAGACACTAATCAAAAGAAATATCATTAAAGAATACCATCAGAGAATAAAAAAAATGAAATACCAGTATACGTAACTTACTTCATCACTATTCTTTCTAAGCACATGGAATAAAACATTACTAACAAAGGTCAATGCTGGACATCGCTGAGCAATGTTAAAAAAAATACAGAAAAAAAAACCCTGATCCACAAAGTCATACATTACAGCATTACAAGGGATTGATCTGCTTGCATCTCAAGGACTGGACTTTGTATCACTTTACCGGTAATTACTCTTTGCTCGTATTACAGAAAATGTACAAGTTAGAAGAGTTTTAAGATTGTTCTAAGCTTACCAAACTATTAAACCTATTTGCCTGACGTTCCTATTATATTCTCTGAGACTGCTAAACCTAGTTTCTTAAGAAAAACTCTGATCCAGATCATGTACTCGTAAGTCACAGTATGTTAGAAGCTATCAAAAACTACAATTTTCTCTTCTGGCACTACCAAATCAAAATATTTACACACTCCACCACGTGGCTTCTGCTTAGTACTAAGTTATCATCTTTCCACCCAGATCAAGCACAGAGAGATAAATATGCAAACTGGTAACGAATAAACAAAAAATACAGTACAGAAACACAAACCGATAGCGCAACCAGGATCCCTAGACTGCTGAGTCAGTCTTTTCCCAGTAAGGCAAGGATTGCTGGCTTTCCAAGACAAACCTGAAGCATCAGTTAAAAGAGCAAAACTCCCCAAAACCCCCAAGGTCTGGCACCCAAAACATTCTTCTGGTTTTCCTGGAAGAAAGAAGCAAAGGAATTTCTGTAGGTGAAAAAGTTATTTTACCAGTCTTGCACCAAATTAGGTAAGAGTCGGAAGGCTCACCGGCCCCTGTCCTGCCTCTCTAGCCTCAGCCCTCTCCCTGCAAAGCTCCCATGTTTCGGGCCTGCACCGGTCTCTTCCTGCCCCCTAGACCAAACCGGGTCCACGGCAGAGGCGTCACCAGCCCACCCCTACCCCCCAAGCGCCGCGGCTCGGCACCCCCAGGCCGCAAGCGGGAGCGGAGGCTCCCCGCGCCCAGTCCGGCCTCAGCCCCACCGCCCGCAGCGAAGGCGCGGCGCCGAACCGTGCCGTGCCCAACCGCCCGACTCACCCGCTGGCGACCAGGGCCCGCACACAAGGGAAGGGCCGCGCTGCTGCGCCCAGCCCCCACCGCCCCTCCGCTGGGGAGGGTCGCACAGCTCCCGCGACTCGTCCCAGCACCCCGCGAGAAGCCGCGGCGGGCATCGTCCCTCCGGACGTATATGTCTTCCTGCGCCCTGCCCGCCCCGGGCTGCGGAGGGAAATTGCACAGCCCCGTGGGAGGCTGCGGAAGGAGCGGGGCTGTTGGGGCGGCGGCATTATTTAACGCCGCGGTCTGCCCTTGTGCCGTGCGGCGGCACCAGGCTGATCGACGCGGTCCGTGTCGGTTTTACCTGCAAGCACCGTGTTTCAAAGCTTTTCAAATCACCGGACTGGAACACTACTGCATACGCATTTTTCTTAATACGCTCCCTTCCACATGCGCGAGTGCATACGTCTGCTGAATGTATGCCTACGCACCCAGGTGACCTTCCTTCACAGCAACTTTGTTCAGCTTTTGTTTTACAAGTTAAGGTCTCATCTCAAAAGTAAATGAGACTTTCAGATGCTAGCTTGGCTGCAGTGCTACACACTCAATTTTTACCACATGGATGTATATCTATATATACACTCATCCACAATTATTTATTATTGGTGTGTTCCCTTACTGCATTTATTTTTTACAAGAGCCCAAAGAAAATGGAGTGATTAAGTAGAGATGCATTTTTTCCCACTGTGCAACATTTTCTGAAATTTTTTGTTTTGACACAAGCTGACAGTCCAGTTCCATTTCAATTATCAAACCCAAATAATTGTTTAATTATTCCAGCCTATTTCAATAAATAAACCAGTAGTCTCTCATTGTTTCCTCTCCCATATTATCCAGATTTCTCCAGAATACGATTAGTGCAGTAACCACACAAACTATAGTTTGTAAATCATAAGGGTAGTTACAGTTCACAAATCTTCAGTGCAGCTGCTTTAATATATACATAGAAGGGAACCAAGCAGGTACTTTAATTTGGAAAAAAAAATCATTTTCTGAAACTAAATGAAAGTGAAGATGTATGCCTTCCGAAACACTTCCCGACATAAAGACTTGCAAGCAGAAAACTAATTAAGGAACATTACACAATAATAGGGATTTTAGGCTTCAGCTGATTTACTGCAAAAGAGAAAAACCTCTGCTACTGCTTTAACCTCTTACTTAGCACCATTTAATCATACAGATGATATGCTGGAAAAGCCTGTAGAATAAATTGCTTATACTTTAAAGGGACAAAAAACTAAATCTTGAAGAACCTTGAGCAGCTTTCTCTTCTCAGTCCTGCTTAATTCTGTATATTCTATTCTATATAGAAATTACCTCCAAATTAATGTAGAATTTTCCATTTGTGTTTATTCTGCCGGAATTCTGGAGAAAATTCACCTGCTGTTTGAACTCTCAACCCACAGCACATACACTGAATTCTGCATGCTGTCCTGGCCCACAGCTGCTCTTTCTGCTCCTGTGCAACAACTCATCTCTTGGGCAGTTGTTCCCTTCCACAGCACACATGCGCAGACATCTTGCTGGGCACTGAGCCTTATTTACAGTTATTCCGCAGTGTCGTGTGAAAGTGATAGGTTTAGCATTTTAACAAGGAACACAAATGCTTCTTCCATAATACCTCAAACCTACAAGCTCTCTGGGACTATCCACTATTAAGGCACAACCACCGCAAGTTCTACATTATGCTCCTGATATGTTCTCACACACTCCTATTCCCTCTTTCTTGCTGGTGCTAGTTCTGCCTTTCTGGTCTGAAAGGCCAAGGCGGCGTTTTCCCACGTGTAGCATTTCAAAACACCCCCCAAAAGAGCAGCTCTGTCAGAAATCCTTTTCAGCCAGCGGCCCCCTTACAGCTTCTCCGCTTGGCGGCGGGGACAGGCCACTTTTCTGGCCTAATAGTCGGCTGTTGCATTGGCCCCAAGTCCGCTGCCGCTCACCCATCGGTGCGAGACCGGCCCTTCAACCTCCTCACCAGACAGCAAAGCAAAGCAAAGCAAACCAAACCCTGAACCCCTCCTACAAATCGCCAAGCGCCGCCTCAGGGGAAGATGGCGGCTACCGCCCCGCCCCGGCCCGCCCGCGGGCTCTCACGTGGGCGCTCACGTGCAGCAGTGCGGGAGGAGGGGTTTCCGGCAGCGCTCGGTGGAGGGTGAGGGTGTCGCCGGGCCTGGCCAGTGCGTGATGGAGGTGACCAGAAGCAGTAAGTGCCTCAGCCGCCCATCTGCGGCGTGTTCGAGTCCCACCTCGTTGGTCACGGTGGGATGCCCCGAGCCGATGCTGCAGAGGACGTCCCAGTATCCCAGCGTCCCGGCTTCCCTTTTCTAGGCTGATGGTGGGGCCCAGCCTTACTCTCTCCTTTAGCGACTGAGGGGGTCCGCGCGTCTCCCCTCACGCGTAGGGCACAGCCCGAGGGCTGAGGGGGCAGCGGGCGGGCCCGGGGGTCTCACAGCCCTCGCTCGCTGGCAGGTGCGGGCCGCCTCTGCCCGTCTGACGGGCGGCGGGAGCCCGTCAGTGGTCTCAGGTGTGTTTTACCCCTCTATCCGCAGATTTTAAGGATACCCTCAACAAAGTGTATGAAGCCATTGAGGAGTCGGACTTCCTGGCTATTGACGGGGAGTTTTCAGGTATAGTCGCACCTGTGATTGTGAACTGTTGGCGGTATCTGTGTGGGGTCCAGGTGCCCGTGCTCGCTCATGTAACACGTTTCCGTGTCAGCTTGAAAAGGCTAAGGGTATGCCAGAATTATTTAACTCCTTCTTATATGTGGAATAGTAAGAGTTTGCGCAAAAGCAGATGTCATACTCATACTCCCTCTGTGCAGTAATCTTTTAACATGTTAATTGATTTTCAGCTGTAGCTCAGGAAAAAAAAATTAAAGATTTTGTATGTGTCACAGTGGCAAGAGGTTGGGATAAATAGGGGAGTGTTTGGACGGGGAAAGATGGTAGTAAGAGCTTTATATTTATAAAATTCAGAGGGTTTATGCATCAGTAATAAGTGCTTTGGTTTTGGGATGCAGATTTCACTCAACCATAAAGCATAAATGTGATCAAAACTAGCTTTATTAGATATGGTGCTTATAAAAATATGGTTGTTAAGTATTGCTTAAAGTGTCATTCAACAAATCTATGAGCAGCACTCTTCCCATTTTTATGTTGACTTTGGTCCCGCATTATGTTGTAAAGACCCATCAACATTATGTTACTGGAAGGTCTTCCCATGTTGCTGGTCATGTTGAATAGGACCTAGAGCAGCAGAACTTTACTGCTAGAACACTACCGTTGAACTGTGTGGCTTTTATGTTGACATGCATACTTCTGTAGTAGCAAATCTTTCTCAAATAATATTAACACACACTTTAAATTAAAATGTTTTTCTCAAGTTACAGTTGCTCCATTTCTTTGGTGTGGCTAATTTTGAAAAGCTTACCCAAAACAAAATATGTTCTATTTTTTCAGGCATCAGTGATGGGCCTTCTGTTAGTGCATTAACCAATGGCTTTGACACTCCAGAAGAAAGATATCAGAAACTTAAAAAGGTAAAGTGTTTACCTCAACTGAAATGAAAATGTTGGAAAAAGGTTAGAAGTCCTTAGTTCAGAATGGGGACAATATAAGGAAATACGACAGAGGACTGTAAGACTGGGTTACATAGATCAGATGGGGATTACTTGGCTCAGTGTCTCTACTAACAAGTATTGGGGAGTGTTACATTAAACTTGCAGAAGTCATAGTCGGAACAGATGGATGTCATTCCTCATGCAAGAGTCAGTAGATTGTAGAGCTTGTGACGGGATGTTGCGAGTGTTAACGGGATGTTGTGAGTTCAAAGGGGGACTGGGTAATAGAAGTTCAGTGACAGAGAGACTACATCAGGATTGGGGTCCTTCCCAAACTACCTCCCCTGCTAGTATGTACTGTCCTTAACAAAACGTAAATGCCAGCTGCCAGCACCACCTTTGCCTCTCTGCAGCACACACACACAGAAGAAAGGTGCTGGAGGGTGTGGAAAGAGTTTTGAAAAGTAACCAAATGAACATGAGGGACAACATATGGTGTGTGAGGGTCAAAAGGTACAAACTGTGATGCTTTGGGTTGTGGGTTTGGTGTTTGGTGTTTTTTTTTTCTCATATTCTTTCAGTGGTGCTAAAAACCTTTCCAGTATTGATCCAACAATTGTGAAGTACTAGAGAACATGATGATAAAATGCCTAGTGACTATGCTAGCACGTATGTCGCACAATTCACTGTTAACCATGTGGGTTAGAAGAATATTAAATGCATTATTACACTTATTTGAAAACTATACATAGCCAGTGTCCCTCACAGTGCGCTCCCATGTTATAGGGAATATAAATGAATGTTGAGAAGGGGACTGACAGCTGCTTTTAGGTGCAGCATCTCTTGTGTGTGAGCAGTGGGTGGAGAGAAATGGGACTTCCATCAGTTCTTGTCTGTTTATGGAATGGAAGTGCATACTACAAATCAGCCTTGGTAGTAGTTTTTTGGGATGAAAACTTGTTGAAAAGCTCTGGTATATTTACTTCAAAATTACCAATAGATCAAATATTTGTTAAGAAGATTCAGATTTGCTTAATTTTGAAATGGAAAATAATAATTTATTGTGGATGCACCTACTGATCTTTGAATATGTACAATTTTTATTCTCATGCCAAGTTTTCCTTTCCTTTCCAGCATTCCATGGATTTTTTGCTCTTTCAGTTTGGCCTTTGCACTTTTAAATATGATCATACAGAAGAAAAGTATGTTATTCTCTTATTCCTTGTTTTCTTAATAGAAGAATTTATGAAGTAATATTAATAAGCTCTATTGACATGGAACTCTTCTTTTCTACAGGTATATAATGAAGTCATTTAATTTCTATATTTTTCCCAAACCCTTTAACAGAAGTTCACCAGATGTCAAGTTTGTCTGTCAGGTTAGTGGAGAAAGAAGTTTAATTTTGTTTGGTTAAAGTATACCTGCAATAAACTGAAAAATATTCCCATGAAAACTACATCATTGTAGATGGAGAAGTGGTTGGTTGTTTTAACAGCTTAAAAGGCAGGAAAACATAAGGTTATGGGTTTTGTTTGTTTTTATTTTTTTTCTCAGAAATAGGCAGTGGTTAAGAGCAATCCCTAAAAATGAGCTTTAAGGGAATCTTTTTGACTTCAGTTTTTAAATCTTATTACACATTACATTGTGTGGTTTCTGGAATTGGAGATAATGCTCCAAACCTGGCAAGATGATTCTATTTATTTTTTTTCCTTTCTTCTCTGACTTCCTGCTCACTTGCCTTTTCTGTTTGATCCTTTATTCCCATCTGCTTATCTCACTTTCACTGCTTCCCAGGCAATTGCCAGCATTTTTCTGATCTCAGATTTGTTCTCCTGAACCACATTTTGCTTTCTTTAGTTTCCTCGCTCCACATACCTTATTCTTTCATCTTTATCCCTTTTATGCATTTATTGTTCTTGTACTTTATGGAAGTTAAAAACAAATAACAAAAGTAGCAATGCATAAAATCTCTATGGCTTCTTTAGCCTCAGCAACTTTGATTGATCTTCACTTTAGACTTCATACAATTTCTTAAAAATTGTAAAATTAACTAAATTGATCATTTTATGCCACAGATACTCTTGCTGATTGTAAGCTATTTTGTTTTGTTGTTGCAGAGTTCAAGTATAGATTTTTTAGCAAATCAAGGATTTGATTTTAATAAAGTGTTTCGCAATGGTGAGTTCTGTTTCTTTTCTTTCAATACTTGCAAAAATCATGTCTTCATTTTATGCAAAAAGAAAAAGGCAGCCATTCATGACATAATGTAGTTCTTAGAATTATTCTTCTGCAATCTACAACTGTGCTGATAGTTACTCTCTTTTAAAAAATTTGTTGTATAGATTCAACAGAATACATAGAGTAACAAGTTATGTGTCTGTGTAATGGATTAGTAGTAACATTTTAGAAAAGGTGTCAGTACATTGTAATAGGAGCTGCTGCCAGCTGTTATTAAAGTGATCCATATAGCAAGGAAGAGGAGTGCTAAGTGTTGTGATCTGCAGCTCTACAGTCCTCTTGCAGATGAGGCATATAGCTCTGAAGAGTCCAGTGTTACCAGCTAATATGGCATATGGCATAAGGACACCTGTAGACACAGATAAATAATGGGCTCTAGAACAGATGATTGAAAGGGAAAGACATGTTTTGAGGCTTCAGGGTCATAACGCAGGCAATTGCTTGGTTAGTAATAAGTCTTTGCTAAATCACACATCCCTAATTTGTCTCTAATTATGATGAGCTTTAAAACATCTTTTTTTTCTTTATTATTATTTTTTTAAAGGAATTCCATATTTAAATCAGGAAGAAGAGAGACAGCTAAGGGAACAGTATGATGAAAAACGTTCTCAGGCCAATGGTGCAGGCTCTGTGTCATACATTTCTCCTAATGCCACAAAGTGTCCTGTAACAATCCCTGAAGACCAGAAAAATTTCATTGAAAAAGTAGTGTAAGTAAAATAGTTTAATATCCTCTGATATTGTTGAAACGAAGACATAAACAATAGTTACATGTTCATATGTTGAAGATATTTTTATTAGCTGTGCAATAGTTCTCTTTTTGTTACAAAGCATTTTCTTTTTCTTTTTTTTTTTTTTTTTGGAGAAAGCTGTAAGCATCATAAAAATAAAACATTAGCATTAGATATAGGAGCAAATCATCTGTTTCTTCCAGGGAACAGATAGAAGACTTGCTAAAGAATGAAGAAAATGAAAGTTTGGAACTGGAGCCATGTACAGGGTTAGTCTCTGAAATTACACATCTTTTAAAAAAAAATATTTATTTTGGCCATATAGAATTGGGGGAGTGATAAAGAAGAAAAAAATCTTTACTTGGGTTAACTATAGTAAAATCTACATTTGACTAATCTCCGAAGGTTGAGAAAACATGGTAATTTATATGGATGTCATACTCTGCTTTATGAGCTATACCTCCTGCAGGCAGTGACAAAATATTTTGGTATAGTCAGGAAGTTTCTTGCATATGTGAGCCTCCTTTTGCTACTGCTGAAGTGCTGCATAAGCCCTGGATATTTTACAATTTTATAATCAGAGTTCTCAATTCTATTGAGCTTTTGGTAGTTTGTAGTTGATGCTTTGTATTGGAACTGGTTTTAGTGGGTTTCCTTCAAAAAGTGCATTTAGCTTTGGAGTCCAGACGTTTGGAGAGTACAGTTATTTAAAAATAAAACATAAGAAAATAATAATTTAAAAATAGTAGAACATTGTGAAGCTTTGGGGTAAGATAACATCACTGTGTCTGTATTTAGTAATGGCTACAGAATATTTACTTATGGGAAGATAGGTAACTATACAATGGTATATTGAACAATTCAGTAAAACCCTTGCAAGGCTATATATTCTGGTAGCAGTGACTTATGTTTAAAAAGCTTTCTACAAATGAACATGGAGTAGACTTAAACTGAACAGTTTTGTAAGAAGAGAATTAGTAACACAATTATCTTTTGATTTCAGATTTCAGAGGAAATTAATTTATCAGACCTTGAGCTGGAAGTAAGTTACTGGTAATACTGCCTTACTGTATATTTTTAGTATTTCTGATAAGAAACCTGGGTAAGATCTGATCTACTTAACCTCAGAGGTGTTTTTCCTTTAAGAGAAGAATTTTATAATGTTTTGAAGATAAATTGCATTAAACTGGTTTATGACTATTTGTTTGAATATTTTGAAGCTTAGTGTTTTTTTTTATCATTCCTATCTAAAATCTGTGAATGGAACAGCACAGCCTAGAATTACGTAACAAATGCAACTTGACAGGTTTTTAGTGAACAGAAAGTGCATGTACTTATACAGACTGTGGCCTTTACCTGAGAAACTGTTAGTTGTGTAGCAAATAGTAGGTACTGGTATGTTTATACGTTTTCTGTTAGATACCAAGTCTGAGCGTTTCTGATGACTTTAAAAATCGTAATTCTAGTAGTAATTCTGTTGTCCTTTCTTAGCTTATTTTATCACTCATCTTTGCCTAAATATGTCCCTTAAGGCCTGAGGAGAAACTGTAAGGCTGTAGAGATGAGATTTTCATTGTTCTGATTGGATTAGTCCAATGGCAGAATATAGCGGAGATCTTTTTCTGTACATTAACCAAATGTACAGAGTTCAGTGTTGCAATAGTATCTGGCACTCTTGCTACTTACACTGGAAGTGGATAAAATAAAGCTCCTCTATAAAATGAAATCTCGAGAAGTGTGAACTAATCTGAAAAAAAGAGGTGTTTTTGAGATTTTTTTTCTGTGTACATTTTAAAGTATCAATAGCTTCCAGTGACACAGTGTTATGCTGTCTGCTTATTCCTCCATCTTCTGTCAGTGGATGGAAAAGTGTGTTCATGAATTCTATTTGTATTAACATTGAGCTGTGTTGCTTTATGTGTATACAGCTCTGTACACTGTGTGTGTACACTGGCAAGAGAAAGCAAAGTTGTGAAGTTAGCATGGAGATAATTAAAGCAGAAGACAGGTTATTGATTGCCCTTGTATCCTGAACCCTTCACAGGTCATTTTCTCTATGTTCTGTGTTCTCAGTGTTCTGTTGTGCAACTGTGTTTTAATGCATCCAGGGTCTGTGACATGCAACAGCTTCAAAGTGAGGTCTAGGTGCAAAATTGTGTGAGAAGTCAGGGTGGAAAGGATACAGTAGCTTTCTAGTATATGTTATCTAGTGCTAGTTTTAGTAGTAACCAGAGGATTAAAGAAACCTGCCAGTTCTGCGATGGTTGTATACTTGTGATTAGTATATAATAATGGGAAGATCAGAGATAGTGTCTACTTGCTAAGCAGTGAAAGACAATATTTTCTTTGACTTTTCTGTCATTTGGATGCTCTGTGTATGGTAGTTCTTTGGTAATTAAATGTGATTGTGGTGGAGCGATGCAGCCTTGTAGCAGAGGTAATGACATTTGTATTAATATTTTCTATTAAAGCTTATTGTTAGCAGGAAGTTCAGGGTTGATTATAAATGCTAGAATAAGTGACATATGAAAGGCATGGAGTCACCAGAGAAGCTGTCTTGTGGCTGCAAGTAACCGAGAGCTTTCTCACGAGTGTTCTGGGTTTGAATTTCTTGAAAGCAGAGATTCTGGATTGTGATGAAATATCTAGACGTTTATTTAATATTACTAAAATATGAAGTTACAGGTTCCATAGCAGTAGGATGGGAAATTGCATAAGAAAATAGTTTTTAGTGCCAGTTACTCTTAGATAATGTAAGGAGGCCAATTTAACTAGCCTACTGCTTCAAATTTTCCATTATTTTACATTTAACGGAATTTTTAATAGTTTCTTTGCACTTAAGACTTATAGTAATAATGAAGCATGAAATCTACTGTTGCAGTTTCAATATGCTAAATTAATAACTACTTTTTTATTTTTTTTTTCATTTGTTTTCATTTAGGTATCCAAAAGGTATCCATGTGGAAACTGTGGAGTCAGATAAGGTCACTAGTTTTGTTACTGTCTGTAACATTTGTTCTGTTTATTTCTTACTTTTACCAACTCTCCTAACTTAGATCAAACTTAAGCTTTATCATACAAAATGCAAAACTTTTTAAGTGGAACTAATTTAGAGCATTAAATATGACCACGTGAAGGGTAAGCATGTATTTCTGTGGCTTAATAATTTTTTTAAAAGGGTACTCAAAGGTATTTTAAGATGTAGTGGTTTCAGCAACCTGATCTAATGGAGGGTGTCCCTGCCCATGGTCCCCACCAGGGGTTTGGTACTAGATGATCTTTAAGGTCCCTTCTAACCCAAACCATTGTTTGATTCTTTCTATTGGTGAAAAGTAGATCTCGATCTTAGAGGAAAAATAATGGCATAACATGCTGTATCCTGACTTCCTAGCACAAATTCCTGCTTCAAGAAGTATTTGGAATCTGCTGTTTACAAGGAAATGCTGATAACCTTTCCTCAGAAGTAAAAGGTGGATTCAGTAAAAGTTAAGTTTGGTGGATGAATCTAATGCAGCTTTCTAAAGTAGGGGTTTGTGAGTAGCTACTAAAGTGGTACTTACAGTAGAAGAACTCATGTTGCCAGGTAACTGTTGCTGAGGTATGACGTAGTTTTCTTTACAGTGTAAATTTACAAAAAAATCACAGTGGTCTTAAGTATAATCTTCTTGGAGTCTCAAACTATGTATTTTTTTTTTTTTTTTAATTTTAGAAGGAGAGATATATTGTTATTAGCAAGGTAAATGAAGAAGAGCGAAAAAGAAGAGAACAGCAGAAACAAGCAAAAGAACAGGTAAATAAGTTCCATTTCATTAGTTTTACGTGAAAAGGGGAGAAGGAGAATCTATGACTTCAATCAGTTATGCAGAATTGTGCGATAGGGTTTGGTAGTATTTCCCTTTTGTTTGGCTGTGGCTGTTGTCTGAAACTGATCCTCCAAATTCTGCGCGATAACTTAGGTTTTGCAGTAGAGCAAGAAGAGTCACCAGACACTCAAGAGAATTTTAAAAAATGAGCAATTGTAGAATACTGAACCAGTATTTGAGAGCAGTGAATTCCTCCTTCTATGAATCTGCTCTATCACAGAACCATGGTTTAGTAATAGGAAACATCAGCTGATTGCATTTATTAGTGCTGTATGATAGCAGTCATTGCAAAAAGGCTTGCAGAAATTCTCTGACAAGTTCGCACAATTATTTGCATTTGCAGTCTGTCCTTGAGATAGTATTCTGTTATAAAACTTGCTCTTAGTTGTCTGAGTTGAAATGTCATGTACAGTTAATGTCATCTGACTTTTCTTGATAGAAGCACGCTGCACACTATAGTAACTACTGTAGTAACAAGTTGATTGGAAGGTGATGTCTGGTATATTTGGGCACTCTCGTCATTTTTTATGGGACATGATATTTTTGCTTGCTGAGTCTGACATGCGTTTCAAGAAGTCATAGGACTTGAATCTTGGGAATTCTTCATCACACTCTTGTGCTTTGTACTTGCATGTTTCAAGATCAAGTCAATTTGGCAGAGCAAATAATACTTGCATGCAGAATGCCTCTTAAGAGGGAAAGAGATATTTAAGAGACCTCAACTAATGTGACCTTTTTTTTTCCAAAAGGCAAGTTAAGGACAATTTACTGCTACAGTAGGTTTTTCTGAAGCAGTCTTTATAGATTCAATATTCACTCTGACTTGTGGCATTCAGAGCCGAACTAAAATAACAATGAATGTTTTTGTTGAATTTCACTTCTCGTTGAACAAAGATAATGCAAGGCAGAAATTACTCCTCTATTCCTGAAAAGGAAGAATCTGTTACAAAAAATATTTAAGTGCAACTAAAATAGATGCTGTAGACAGATCCCCCCCAAACTAATCTGAGTCAGTTTAAAATGTGTAGCTCACACTGAATAATATTGTAGTTGTATAATATTTCTTATTCTTTTTGTTTATATAAAGAGTGAGGAATGTTTCTTACCCAATCTCAATGTCAGCATAAAAATACAGTTTGATTTAATAGAAATAACAATCAGGATTAATTCTGCTGCATCTTACAACAGTGCATGTTGTAATACGGCTGAAGATACGTAGCTTAATTTTAGCAGCATCTTGAGCTATTTGGAGTCTTATGGCTGTTGAGCACTCTAGAAGATAGTATATTGACAGTGAACTGACTACAGCTGTATTGGTCTGGTTTGGCTATTAACTGCCTTTACAGCCCGTATGTTGCTGCACTTTGCCTTTGTGGCTAAGTGTTGATACCACATATGTATTTTGGCTGCTGCTGAGCAGTGCTTGTGCGGTGTCAAGGCTTTCTCTCTCTCTTCCACCCTGCCCAATAGCAAGTAGGCTGAGGGAAGTGGGCAGGAGGTGGAGAGGGGATGTCTGTGGTTATGGTGGTGTTTATTTTCCCAAGCAACCTTTATGTGTGCTGAGACCCTGCTTCTCAGGAAGTGGTTACACATCTTCCAGCTGATGGGAAGTGATGAATGAAGGCCTGTTTTTGCTTTACTGGTGCATGCAGGTTTTACTTTTCTTAGGAAGTGGTCATTACATTGATCCAGGAGTCTTTCTGCCTTCATTTGAATTTCTTTTGTTCCTCTCCCTTTTCCCCAGGAAAGGGGAGTGATCAAAAGGCAGAGCGAATGTTTGGCTTCTGATCAGGGTCAACCCACCACAATAGCTTGTGACTTGTCTGACTTTACAGTGAACTATTGCTACATATGAAACTGGAATTCTGTCAGCAGCCTCCTGTTCTGACCTCATGTATCTTCCAAATACTGACATTTCCTCTGTGGTTTGTTCTTAGCTATATCTGAGAAACATTTTGAGCTAACTGGTGTGTCTGGTAGTTCACAGGTATAGCTTTGACAATACTTGTATTTCTGTTTCACTGATGTCAGGATCTTTGCTTGCAGGAGGAGTTGAATGATGCAGTAGGGTTTTCCAGAGTCATTCATGCCATTGCTAATTCTGTAAGTTAACATCATTTTTAGTGTAACTTTGGTTGTAAAAAAGAAAAGAAGGAGTTCTTTTGTAGTTACATTTTGGAAGATAAAATGAAATACAAGTTAAAGTGACTTCTTTCTTTTTAAGTTGATGTTGCTTCATGTTTCATAGTGGCTGGCTGTAGTATTTTAAGAAAAGTCTAAGCAAGTGACATGAGCAACCTTATCTGTAAAAGTCAATTACTAATTTCTTAGGGCTCTAACAAGATTCTTTTAAGTAACTAGGCTTTGAGGGCTTTTTTTCCTCTGTCCTGAAAAAGATGTTGGTGTTTTGTGGTTTTTTTTTTTTTTTTGTGGTTTGTTGGTTGAGGTTTTTTTGGGGGGGAGGGGAGGTGTGTGTGTTTGGGTTTTTTGGTTGTTTTTGTTTGGTTGTTTTTTTTTGTTTTGTTTTTTTTGTTTGTTTGTTTGTTTTGTGGTTGTGTTTTTTTTCCTGGCAGTTAAAGGCTTAATCAGAGAAGGTCATCTGGTTCTCTTACATGGTTAAAACAGGCTATAGTTTTACATCTGTCCCCTTCAGACCAATTATTTTCATGTAGTTGTTATAGCCTGTTGTGTAGAAAAGAAATGCGTATCCATATTGTTATCTCTAGCACGTGGAGGATGCAGGGAAGTAGAAAAGGTTGTCATGTTAAATGAATCAAAGTTACCATTTTAAAAAATTACTTTTTCAAGAAGGAACTTGCTTCTACAACATCTGGCATAAGGTTTTGCACTGTGAATACCAGATCATGCCTGTAGTAACTATCATATGTTACAACCATAAAGAATATGTTGTGAGTGTACAAGTTGTAAACTAAAAGGTGGTGGACTGAGATAGCACTTGACTTCAATCTTAAATAGATAACATTTGGAAACCAAGTTGTAAGTGTCTGTTCTAGTGCATCTTCTTAACATTTTCAGCAGCTGCTGAAGGCTGTAATTAGTTGTGAGTAGTGAAGATTAAGAGTAGAGGCTGTGATTAGAGGAAAAAGGAGTGGCTGCTCTGAATGAATGGAGTAGCCTGTGGGTCAGGCAGAGAGCAAATAGGTAGGTTTGGTTTGGGCTTTTTTCCCAGCTGCCCTTGGCTAGCATCTGGGTTAGGTGCTTTTCATATATTGCCCTTGCCATAGCCATGATTGGAAGGGTAACTAGCATTTAATGTTCTTTTCACAGGGGAAGCTTGTTATTGGGCACAACATGCTGCTGGATGTTATGCATACCATACACCAGTTCTATTGTCCCCTACCTGATGTAAGTGATCTTCTGAGTGTTCAGATGATGAAATAAATGCCTTAATGTATTTGTGTTTAGTCTTATCTCCAGACTTGATAGTGAATGGAAGCATGTGACTATCTTAAGAACAACAGAAAAGTATTAAAAAAAAAAAAAAGTCACTTGTTACGCCTGGCTACTGTCTTATTTTCTTAAATCTTCATGTAGAAAGCTTAGCTGGATGGAATTCTTCCCCTTTACATTTTTTAAATGTTTAATTTAAACATTGGGATTTGATTTCTGTTGTGATTTCTGCTCTATCTGTTAGTCCTTCAGAAACTGCTTGGATAATGGCAGGTAAATTTAACCAACTTGTTAAGATCCTGGTTTGGAGCTTCAGCATTATTATGTGGCATTTTTTCCCTCTGTAGTTTACAGTGTTGGAATACATATTTTAATATAATATAGTACAATTAACAAAGGATAAGAAATCTTGTAGCAAGATGATGTTCAAGTGAAGAGGTGAAATGTCTGAATAATTGGAGGGAGCATACTTTCATGACTGCAGTAGCCTAGCAATTAAGTTACACTAAACAATGTATTAGAACTGAGGGCATTGTCTGAAGAAACCAAAGATCTCATTGGAAGGGTGGCCTGTATAGTAGTTATATTAATTGCAATCCTCAAGGGCTTGTGCGTGTTAGGGGAAAGACTTGATTATGAGATGGGAGAAGAGTCTGGGACCTGTTTGGATGGTATTGGAACACAGGCAGTTGTCAATTGTTCCTGTATGTCTGACACGGAAGATCTAGTCTTATAGGCAGTCAGTTGTCCCCCCTGGAGTGACTGCTTATATTCCGCTGGCAAATTAAATGCTTGGAACATTTAGGTAGAACTGTTAATGCAGCTGGAATTAGAGGTAGTCTACGTTATATAATAGGATAGGGTATTGGAGGTCATTCAGTATTTTTCTTGCAAGTTGTACACAAATCAGAGATAATTAGTCTGTAGTTCTGTGTAATTGCAGGTGGTATTTACATAATGCTGATGAATACATCTCTTAAGAGGTGAGAATTCAGTCACTGTTACCTCAATTTTAGAAGCTGATTGGATAATTATAGCTACTGCTATCTATCATCCTGAGACTGATAAACAGTTAACTTATTTGAATTTTATCTTCTGGTTTAATGTTAAATTAGGACCTAAATGAGTTCAAGGAAGTAACATCATGTGTCTTTCCCAGGTAAGTTCTTAGTTCAAACTTTCAGCTGTTTTAGTACTGTTTTAACAAGCTGATATTGTTTGTCCTAGCCCTAACTTAGTTCTTACTGGAAATAAAATTGGGAACAAGTTAGATAAATACAGTTTTTAAAGTATTCTGTAGCATCTCTTTTGCAGAAGAGCAGTGCTATTGTTCCACTTCTTGGCAAAAGATGCAGCTTTGCTACCCCGTGGTTTTTGGCATGATATTTGGTGTTTTGAATCTGCGCTACATTTTGAACAAGGTTTATTAGCTACTTATTGTTTGCATCTCTTGCTATTGCTTAGTTGTTGTCCTTTTTCATGCTGAACAAAGCCAAGGGGTGTTTTGGCTGCTCTGAAATCTAAGAGTAATTTTTCAACAGGGTGCAACTGCTGTTTCCCAGCTAATACACCAAAACATTTTTGAGGATTTAGCAAAACTGACATTCTTCCATTTCAACTTATTTAGCTATTACTTTGTTTCTAGGCTATTGGATACTAAACTGATGGCAAGTACACAACCTTTTAAGGTAAATTAATATAATATTCTAGAATTATTTGAAGGTACAAGTTTGCATTAAGTGTCTATTGAAACATTTATTTTTTTTTTAGAGAAAAAATACCTAAGAATATTTTCTGTGATGCTCCTTTTTTGAAAAAGAATGAATTTTATGAATTTTCTTAGCCCTTTATCTAAACTTATAAAGTCTTCAGGGTACAAATTTTTACTTTTGTACAAGTAGCTTTTGTGTTTGTCACAGTTTTAAGGTAACTTAGCAGCTTTGAATTCTGACAGTGCATACAGGTTTTACTACTTAAAATGCAATTAGCATTCTTTTGCCTTGTAAATTAGCACAAGACTGCATGTCTCCTGAGGAGAAACCAAGAATTGTTATTCATGAGCAAATAGGACCGGGAAGCTACTTGTATACTTGAAGCTTTAGAATATTGTGAATGCTGACTTAGATTTGTGTAGAAAAAGACGCTTGAATATCATCACTAAATTCTGTTGGGGCCTGCTGTTCAGTGGGTAGCCAGGAGAAAAAATTACAGGCTTCTCTTAAAGCCTCTTGTAGCGTGAATTTTATTTTTCCAAAGAAGTATTGAGATAAGTGATCATACCCTCTTGCTTTTCTGTGTGCCTTTTGGAATGAAATAATTAAATAACATGCTGATGAGTCAACACCTGTGTTTCTGCGTGTTTCTGCATGTCTCTGACTTCAGAGCATTGCATAACATAAAATCTCATTAAAATGTACTTAGTAGATATTTTCAGGTTTGTCTTGCATCCTACTGTAGTAAGAATACAAAAATAAGCTTTTGTATTCTGAAAACTAATAATGCTGCACAAGTTTTATGTTTGCTACAGTTATGTTGATATTTGTAATTTTTACAGTAGCTGCTTAGGGTTTAGGCTGTTGTTATTAAATGGTGCTTTGGGATGCCAAAATAATACGTCATTTGAGCTTGTTCATTGTACTGAGTTCTTGATAACTTTTCAGACTGCAGACTTGATAACTGTAAACAACTGTCTTGATGTAGAACCAAAGGAAATTTGTCCTCAAAAATTTCAACTTTAAGAAAGATTGTGTGAGAGTTTTTGTTTTCTCTTGATATTGATTCTGCATGTTTTTTTCATTGTACTGATTTACATTGTATGTTTTATTAAGAACTTCAGTGAGTTTGGTTTGAAGAAATTAGTTTATGTATCTTTTTGTGACATTTTATGTATACATATATAGATTAAGTAATACAGCTAAACTAAGCTAAAGTGTAGGAATGGCTTTCTGATTGTCATGCTTCTTTCACTGTCTTTGTCTTACTTTAAATAATCAGTATTTACACTTATAAAACTATTTAAGAATGTTCAGCCAGCAGGCACACTTTAATGTTCAATGCCTTCAACTGTAATGTTCAGTATTTGAGATATTTTGCCTTGTTGTTTGTGCTGCCTTTTTCCCTGCCACATGTGTCATGCATGGAGCCGGATTCAAATAGAAATATTACTCTGGCATAATTCACCATCAAAAATTGTGAAAAGTATTAATAAATGCTTATGACTGCTGTGTTGTAGGTGAGACAAGTTAACTTCTTGTCTTGACAGACTTCTCTGGTCTGTTAGTTTAAAAGGATGCTATGTATAAGTCCTTAGAGAACACAAGGTGGCAGCAATAAATACTAATTTTATCCAATTTCAGTATCTATGGAAAATGTGTTTGGCATTGATAATTAATGGTGTCTTTTCTTGCAGGAGATCATTAATAATACATCCCTTGCAGAACTGGAAAAGCGTTTAAAAGAGGTTCCATTTAGCTCTCCTGAAGTTGGTAAGGATATGTCAAAATGGTCTTATTCCTGAAATGTTTTCCTCTTTCAGAGGAAAATGTCTTAATTATTTTTGTTCTTGGTCTGAAATGTAAATTCCCATATTAATACTTAGGGTTTTAATGAAAGGAACTTTAAATGTGGTCAATATACATATACTGCAGTTAAATTTAGACCTATGAGTTGAAGTCAGTAGGAACCTTCTACTTTGTTTCACATTATAGAAGAATGGATGTATGCAGTGAACAGCAGTTTCATCATCTAATGATGGCATTTTGTTTTTTAGGCTGATTTCTTTTTTTTTTTTTTTTCTTTTTTAAGTAACTTGGAATTGTTTTAAAAATGTTTTATTTGATTATTATTGTCCTTCAGATCAAAGCTACTGCATTCTAATGGGCACTTGGACAACAAAACCAAGAAAACTTAGGTAGTTGTGACGAGCTGTGATTTAAGTTCCTTTAGAGCTTTCTTTGCTTCAAGCTGAATGACAGAATATTTAATCAAAGGGCAAGCTTATCTCAAAGTTCTAGAATTTTTCTTAAGCTGCTGATTTAGAAAAGGGCAGGCAATACTGAACAGTAGGTACGTTAGAAGGGAAAGTCTCAATGCTTAATCAAAACCAAGAGTGCTACTTTTTTTGTATCGCTGAATGTGCAGAGCAGATACACTTAAGCTGCAGTAACAGGAGAGATTTATTGATAAGACAGATAATCTACAATCTTCTTGGACAATGAGCAGGAGCTGTTGGTGCCTAGACCTAAGTAGTACCATAAATATGGCATGGACAGTAACTGCATGCAGACCTTACTGGCATATCCTCCATAGCATCTTCTCAGGGTGTAACCTAATTTGGCAGCTGTCAGGTACTATTATTTGCTGATGTAATTTAATAATAATTTTACCTTTTTTTGTTTTTCTTGTCCAAAATATGACCATAACAGCTAAAGTGTAAATATTAGATCAGAGATGATCAATGGGGTTCAGGATAACCAAAGCAAAGCATGTTTAAAAATACTAGAGTACTTTTGGTAACAGTTACATTTCTCTTTTCTTTTGGTGTGTATCCATTAAAAAAGTAGAGCACTAAGAAATGTCTTTTTCAGCTCAACCAGTATAGCTTAATCTTGTGTGAATCTGAGACTTTATTTTTTAAATAAATATTACAAGGGCTTATCTGATAAAAGGCCTGATATTTTGTTCCTCTAGTTTTGTATATAAAAATGGGATTTGGGTTTCTTTTTACAAAATACGAGTAGTATCTATGCTTACATATTTCTATTGTACAAATTATGCTAATATTTCTGTATCGCTGTTTTAAATCCTGTGTGTGTTTCTTCTTCATTTTAACTTCTTTTTGCTACGTTGAATGCCATAAATTAAATGGAATTGTAGAGTTCACTTTTCAGCCTGTACCTTAATGCAAGGGTCATAATTCTGGCTTTTCAAACAGTTAATTTTGTTCTTCTAGTTCTATTATCAGTAAAACTTCTACAAGAAGATGAGCAATCTTTTTAGAGGCTGAGAAACTAGCTACAGAGGCGAAATAACTTTGTTGGGAGTGGGAAAAATTTAAATGATACAGAAGAGAGAGTGATGTTCACATATTTCTCTGTTACTGAGACCTTCAGACAGAGAAGTGCCTGTGAAGGTTTCTACTTTGAGGTGTTTCAAGGGATATTTCTCAAGGTCTTCACGCACAAACCAAGCATGACTGTTAATAAATAAATCCTTTAATGACTTAATTCCATCTTCGTTATTTAAATACCTTGAAGAATCTGACCATAGGTCAGTTGGATGGTTAGCAAACAGGTTAATAATAGAGGTTTTAATTAGGCTGAGTGTCCTTTTAAATGCAAGGCATTCAGAAAAAAAAAAAAGGCCATATGGGGAATCCTGCTGTTAGAATTAATATTCCGTTTTGGCTAAGTAGGTATGGGAATTAATAGCTTTATAATAGGAAGCTTTTTAATAGAATAGGACTTCTATCATAGGAACCTATTCTTATTTAAAAATACAAAACAAAATTGTGGGTTTAGCTTTTTTTCCCCAGAACTTCTGAATTTTCAGAAATTCTGAAAATCATATGAACTTACCCAAATTTTGTTTTGATCTGACAAAATAATTGCATGGACCAAGCAAACAGGGTTGCCTCTGACTTCTGTGATAATATGTTTACAAATTATTCTTTCTCCTCAGAAAGTGCTGATGGGTTTCCAAGTTATGATACAGCTTCTGAACAGCTTCATGAAGCGGGATATGATGCTTACATTACTGGGCTGTGCTTCATCTCTATGGCTAATTTCCTAGGTACATGTGTGACCTTTTTCAGACCTTCTCCTGAGTGCTTTCTGTAGCTGCTTATTACATACTGAATTTTTCTTCATTCATCAGGTTCATTTCTCAGTCCTCCGAAAACCCATGTGTCTGCTAGATCAAAACTTGTTGAACCCTTTTTTAACAAGTAAGTAGTTGTTTAAAAAGACCTGCTAAAATATGGAAAATTAATACTAGCCATATATGTATATCTAACCTCAAAATCAATGGCTAAGTGCATTTTTCTTTACCCTTCAGTTTTGTCTTTCTGGTTCACACTAGTAATGCTACAGGGAGGCCCAAGTTTATAAAGTAGATACATTTTCTTTTGCAGAGAGTGGTTTACTTTCTGCTAACCTGTGAAAGGATGCTTAAAAGAGTACCTGGACTGCTTTAATGTTCTTGTCCATGCCAGTGTTGAGAATATTACAACTTGATTTTCTTGTAGTTGAGAAAATTATTTCTGGGGTAACCTTTGGGAATAGTGAAATAGAAGGAAAACAGGACAAGTGTTCTTTATGTTGTAGGACACTGTCAGAAACTTATGATAGTTAAAACTGAGTACACTAAACAGCCTGGAAAAACTAAAATACCCCTACTGTAATATCAATCCAAATAACACAAAGCTATTGTGTTAACATTATCAGGTTATTTAAGAAAGCATGATAAACATGTATGGGATTAGTAGTTTGTGGGATGACGCTGTTACCAGTATTTTGCTTTTGAATTGGATCTTCATGCAAATTAGTTGAACAAATTGAAGTAGACTTGAGAAATATAGAAGTCTTTATGGACAGATTTGATTCTTTACATATTTAATCTGTAGATTTTAGCTTATGAAGCTTCTAAAGGTAGCGTAACCTGCTTCCTGAAGAGAAACAAGTTTAAATTAAAAAGGTGCTGGTGCTTTAGTCTGTCTGTTTGTTTAAGGTCAAGAGAAATACCATCACTTCAAACCCTATCTTACAGGAGTTGGGAAAAATAATTATTTTCTCTTCAGATGGCTTACATAAATGAGGGAATAATTGTTATCAATGGCTTTCAGCTTCCATTGGTCTGGAAACCAGATTACTCTAGTGATAGCAGTTACTCTTCACACCGAGACATGTAAAGCAGTAACTCCACATATTCTAGCAGACATTATAAATTATATCTACATTTCTCAGATTGTAGTAGACCCACAGTGACCACTTGATTTGAATGTGAAGGTGACGATAGAATTGATCAGCATAATTTCCTTTTTAGATAGGATTTATCACAGGCCTGTTTTCAGTAATACCAGTGCGCACACAGATGCCAACTAGTAAATGCCAGTCGGGGGGTCATTTTTTCAATCATTAACCAAAATGGTTTCAGTTCTTTCTAGAGATGTGTATCTGCACAAGTATAAACTGAAGCTTCTAAAACGGTCCGGATAATACACTAAATTTAAGCTTTTCAAGTTACTAAGTTGTATACTTCAAATATGACTTCCTTCTAACAGTGACATTTCAGAGTTCTGAGAGAAATCCTGCTGTGTGTGTTCTGGCTTCAGAGTTAACACTGCCAAACTGTAATGAAAGGGAAGTTAACAAAAAAATGTAGGGAAATGAGCAGCTTCTTTTTTTCTTTTTTTTTTTTTTCTTAAACAAGATCTGAAAATTACTGTTTACCAGAAAAAATGAAAGGCTATTTGTTCTGTGTCTATGCAGAACTTGTAGCTTCTTGTTTCAGAAAAGCTAGGTATTATTTTTAAGTCATGGAAACTTGGAAGACTTGCCATGTCTTTCTTTCACATGATCTTAGAAGCTTTGCCATAGTCTTAACTAACATCTGCCACCTCAGTTCAGTCAGAGCTTGGAGATGAGACTGTCTCACTTTTTCCTTACAAGTGGGCAGGCCAAGGCTTGTATTTTTAAAGCTTTTTTATTATTTTTTTTTTTTAATGCAGAGTAACAAACCAGAATAAAACAACTCCATTTATTTCATCACTGAAATAAAAATGAAGTACATGTCAAAAATTAGAGCTGTTAGATACTTGAGCAAGACTTTTGCTCTGTTCAGTATGTCCTTGCAGATCAGATCGCTATTTCCAGCATTTGGTCTGTTTAGCACCTCTAAGTAGCATCTGGGGCTTGTGTGATTTATATAGTTACCCTAAGGTCCCTAGTAAGGATGTTGCTTCTGGGGCTTTTTTGCAGGTATGCTCTGGGCTGCCAGCTAGCTTCCTGCTACATGTAGTTTTCTCTGGTTTGTGGTTTAGAAGCTTTCCCTAGCTGAGCATCCTCTCTTCCTCTTGGGGAGAAAAAAAACTATCTTCCTCCTTCCTCCAGAAGTTCTACCTGATCCTGGGGACAGCAGTCAGAACAAGGAAACCTTTTCCTTTTTGCTGTAGTCATGTTCTTCAAGCAAAACCCAAACTACAACATGCAAACTGTAAGCTAAACAAATGAAAGTTATACTATCTGTCACAAAAGTTTTTCCTGAAAGAAGCTGAACAGAGTAGTTTATTACAAGGCAATTATTTAGAAACAGTGTTCGCAGTTGAAAGTGTTCTTTATAGCAGACCACTTTATGATTCTTTGGGTTGCTTCTAAAGTCTTAATGCCAAGATCTCTGAATATTAGGTGTTAATATTTAAATACAGTTTAAAGATTAAACTTTTATATGATTGGTGTGACTGATCGGATTTTGAAAATGTTTTCTGTTTGAATAGACTTGTCGCTAATATAAATAGAGGGAGGAAATTTAAAACTGAAAGAATCAAGCTTTGTTTTTTACAAATTTAGCCTTCAAAGGAAAGTACTAGTTTTTTTCAGTAATTATTTTGATCTCTGTGTCAGCAAAGTTATGAAACTTCCTGACTTGCTATTCCAGAGTGGTGGCCAGTATATAGGTTAATGTTCATATAGGTTAATGATGAATGTAAGATCTCCAGTTTTAACTTCTTGCAGAGTAGAACTGATTAAAAACAGACTTTGCCTTAGGGTTGTTTGGCTCTTTCAGGCATAATGCACTAAGTTGTATGATAAACAACTCAATAATGCAAGCATTCCAGAGATACATTTCTGTAATCTTTATGCTTCATTGTATATACAGTATCTTTGAAAAATCATGTTCACGTGAACAGTCTGCTGTGAGTAATCCTTGATGAACGCTTACAATCTATATTGTAATAACTCTTATGCGTGTAAATTAGATGCTATATATTGTGTAATATATTTTTGAGTTGATTTGGAGTTTTTGACCTGCTTTGTTTAGAGCAGCATCTCTTCCCTTCTTCTACCTCCCCATCCCCACCTGCAAGACTCTCCCAAACTTTTAATGATAACTTTGTTTTGAATCTCTTTGGGTTGTTTGAATATGGTGGTTTGGGGGGAGGTGTGGGGGGGGTCATTTATTTTTTTGATGTAGCTGAAGGCAGGGGGTGAAAGAGGCGTAGAGAAATGAGAACATCATGTTTTATTGAGCTGACTAGCATGCTAGTCTGTAGAAATATAAATTACTTTAGATTCTTATTTTCATATAAAGGGATTTCAGAAACCAAAATCTGTGGATATAACTTGGTTTTGTGCTATATTTCTGGAAAATGTCTCACCAGGGAGCTAGGTTCTGTGGCAACTCTTGCCAGAGAGCTTACTAATTTCTCCCTTGGCTTTTCTCTATTAGTTTTATTTCTTTGCAAACCCACTGCAAAGGAACATCAGTGTGCTTTTCTGCCATTTGACCAGTAACTTCTCAGTCATAGTGTAGAAGTAAACAATTACTGTGCTTGTGCTTTCAGGCACTTGTGGCCATACTGAGTGCTGAGCTGGCTTGGTGAACTGATCTGGGCTTTTTTCAGCTGTTTCTCTACGCAGTTCACAGCAACCCTGTGTTTATCACGCCGCTGTGAGAACTCATTCTAGCTCAGTGCAGATGAAGAATGTTGACTACTTGAGACTATGTATGCATTGCTGTGAAGTGGCATGGTCATAGTCTTGCTTTCCTTATGTTCCTTGACTTGCCACAGAAAAATTGGTCTTCCAAGTGGCTGTCTTGCAATACCTCAATGTTCCTAGGATATTGCTGCATATTGAGAAACAGACCTCTGTCCTCTGACCATGTGAACTGGCTGGAGCTCTAAACAATGTAGGAGATAACATTTCCTTAGCTTGGTCAGTGTAACTGTTAAGTAATTGTAAATTAATGTAGTGTGAAAGCATGTCCTACAACTACATGAATCTGGCCAATTTAGTATATGCTAGGGTTCATGTTGTCATAGAGAACGACTTGTTAGTGTAAATTTTCTGGAGAGAGGTGAGGGGTCTTACAGTTGTAATTATGCATTATGCTGCTGCTCAGTGTTCATAATCTATGTGGTGTAAGTTAGTGCTACAAGAGGCAGTTACTGCTGTAACATACTTTAAGTGCACTTAGTATTAAAATCGGTATTTATACCATCTGTTTAGGGAGTGTGTGTTTATGTATGTGCTGTTTAGAGACATAGAGGATAAAACCCTGATCTTAATTAATCTCCAGTATATGCATTTTTTTTTCTGGCATAGGTGTTCTTGCTGTTGGCCACCATATTGCTTTCCTCAGCATGATAAAACCTGAGAGAGTGCAGCTTCACTAGTACTCTCCCCAGAAGTTTTTGTTGTTTTTTATTAAACCTCATCCTTATTTTTTATGAAAACCTAGGAAACTAATCATTTGAGTAAGAAGTAGCTGGTTTCAAGAATTCTTTGAAAGCTAATTCTTCAGATAGCTCAACTTAAACCAAAGTTGCCTTTTTGTTTTGTTTGTTAAACTTCTGTTATCCTGAGTGGATGATGGAGAGCTAGTGAAGACTAAAGTGCTTTTACTGACTAACTGAAATACTGTATATTTTGACTGTGCTTAAGCTATGCCTATCCACTCCACTGGAGTCTGAAGGCAGCTGTGGCTCCTACTAACAGTGACATTGACATTATTTCAGATAAAGAAATGAGCACAAATCATAGGTAATAAATGAAACCGAGCATCTTTGGACAGTCTGAAGTGACGTCCAGCTTACTAGTGGAGTATAGATCCTAGACCTGCAACTTCCTTTCTGTCCAGCTAGGCACTCTGTCATGGTGGTATGAGCCTGCCTGTCTCCCACCAGAGATGGAATATAGTGACATCCCTTCTGTTCTTGGAACATGTGTCACATACTCCCTCTTTGTCTCCTCCTTGCCTTTTATCTCATGAAAGATACCCTTATGGCCCGATCACTCTGTCTCCTGTCTGTTTTCTGGGTGGATGGCTTGTTTGTTTCTTTTTTGAGCAATAGCACTGCATGTGCTGTCAGGATTACTGCAGATACCTAGCAGATGTTGAAGTAAGGATATTTTTTTCTCTGTTTCCTGGTGGAAGCTGTGTTCTGAAGCTAGCTGTGTTCTCAAAATGTCACTCCTGTCCTGTTAAACAGATAGCTATAATGAAACCAAGGCTATAGGAGTATGACACCTAAAGTTAAACGTAAGAAGAAACTCTGGCTCTTTTTTAAAATATCTTCATAACTCGGTCTTATGCTGGAATTGTTGAAGTTTCTAAAGGTAATTGATGCTGATGTTTCTAATTTTTACTGGTAAAATTCCTTTTAGGTTCTGCAGTGCTCAGGTGGACACAGTGTACCATGTCTTCCCTGAGACTCAGGAAGAGAAGTTAGGTGGGGCAATGTATCATAACTAGAGCCAGTTCTCTGAAAACCCTCTGGCTCAAATGTGAACCTGTCATATAGTATATTTGCTCCCCAGTGTGTGTTATGTTTTTTTCTCCTGAGTAATTATAGTAAAGTTATCAACTGCATTCCAGTAGATTTTCCAGTGGTACCAGCAGCCGTAAGAACATATTACTCAAACTCTTAAAAACTAATAGTCAGTGTGGTATGACATAGAGACTCTTTAGGGAATTGCAGATCAGTCTGTACACTTGAAATGTTTTCATCCATCAGCTGTTTCTATAAAATTATGTAGTTTAATATTGTAACTGTTTAAGCATTTTAGAAGCTTTTTGAACTTTTTGTAGAAAAGTTATTTTAGCCCTTGCTTGAACACTGTGCAGAGCAAATGTTTTGTAGCAGCGATGTGGCATCTATACCCATAAGTAGCCTAAAATGCTGTCATCTTGTTTTGGAGGGAAATAGTTTTCAGAGCTGAATATGAATTCTTATTGAAAGCATTTCTTCAATGTGTCGATAAACTCAGTTACATATTAAAGGGCAAAAGACTCATCCTGGTTATCTCCACTGAGTTGTTGTGATGGCTTTTGCAGCTTTAGGGTTTCAAGATCCATTCTGCCTAAAGCATGATGCCGTGCTCAGAAAATGGGGAAGTGTACATGTATTTAGAATGACAGCTTTTGCACATTCCACACCCTGTAACTGGCTTTTACTGTGCAGATCTGCTGCTTTCTAAATGTTCATTTCCCCACTTACTTTAATTGTTTTCAGTAGTAACAGTTGGGGGTTCTTTGTTGTTGTTTTGTTGAATAAGTAAAATTATTAGCATGATGCCAAGTAACTTTTTGAATCTGGATTGTTAGATAATGTATCCGACATAATTGGAGCATCTGTGTGTTTTAATACAGCTCAAGATATGGTTGGGATGAGTAATTCTGCTTCTTCAGAAGCAACATCTAAAAAACTATAAAAAAGACATTTTAATAAAAGGTCTTTAGGCAGAAATTTGCTAATGGTGCTTTTCCATTTTACTTCAGGCTATTTCTTATGAGAGTAATGGACATACCGTATCTCAATTTGGAAGGACCAGACTGTAAGTAGCTTATTTACTACTGGAAATATTTTTACGTTTCAGGTTATTTCAGGTTACAGACCTGGGGCTGTAGAAAGTTGCTAAGACATTAAAATGAAAACATATTTTACTAATATAAAGGTCCTTACTGTTACAGGATGTCACACTGTGAGGGGAAGAACTTCAGATGACTGTTACCAGTTATGTCTTAACATAGAAAAATGTAAAGCTCTGGAGGTCAGTCTAGTCCCTGACTAGATGACAGCTTAATTTTGCACTGTGAAATCAGATACACAAGTGTCTTTAAGTGATACCCATCTGGAAGCAATATTAATGTGAAGACATTTTCAACTCCATGCATCTGAAAAAGTCTGGAAGATGACCGTTTATTAGATGCTAGTTTAATAGGAACAGAATGCAGTTCTAGAAAGATGAAATTAACTACTGGAGAGGAAAAAGTGTGTTCTAAGGGCATATATTTAGTTTTTAAACGTGGTTAGGTGATCCGATCACTGAGCTCTGGCTCTGCAGATCTGTTGAGATGGTTATCTAATTATGTTTGATACTGAGTGCAAGAATGGATAAATACTTTGGGTCATTGAGAGAATGCCAAAGCTACTAAGCTGTAAAGATGTTACTTCCACTTGCTAGCCAACTTACAGGATTGCGTTGATACTTTGCCAAGAAAAGTTGCCAGAGAAGACTGCCTCTGAAAGTCTGTCTCTTTCATCTGAAAGCCACTCCTTTAGAGCAGACCGAATCTGATGTTACAGCAGAATCTGAGGCATGGAGGCTTTCTAAGCTTCAAAACGGAAAGTGCATCTAGGGTGGCATGTTTGGCTGGCTGCTTTAGAAATTTTTATTGCTGTTCTGAAATTTAAATGCTGCTGTAGTACTAAATATGTGAAAGTGACTTTCATTATAGTCTTTTGTTACTGTGTATGAAAAACTCTTAAAAAAAAATGCAGTTGTTGCAGAAAATGACTGCAAAGCAGGATATGAATCAACTGTTTCTCACCTGAGTAGGTAGAAGGTATAAATGTTTAACAGAGGATTCAAAGTTGTATGAAGATAGTAAGAATAAACTGATACTGAAGGGTCTGGAGTAGTTTCTTCTCCCTAATCAATAGAAAAAAGGCTGTTACAACATCTCAAACTGGCCTTGTTACAGTTCTTTACTACTGCATTGGAAATACCTTGAATTGCTAACTGTTCAATAAGCGATACATTAATGAATTGTTCACTGGCTTGTTAAGATAACTTGCGGGGTTTTGGTGTTTGTCTTGTGTAGAGCCAAAAAAAGAAATCTGATGCTTAGAAAAATGTTCTGTCCTTTTTGGTTTTGAAGTAGCAACTTTAAAGAACAGGACTTGACCTGTACTTGTGAAGGGATTACTTGCTTTAGCTACTTGGGTCTCCATCCACTCTGATGCTCAGATGTTCATGCAAACCTGTAAGTTGTTATCAGGAAGTTTATGATAAACTCATGCTAGTGCAGCTTGTTTTGAGCAAAACAGATTGATGCACTTAAAAGCAAGTCACAGGTGGCTGGAGGGTGGCAGCTATAAGAGGCTGTTTAATCTGGAAAATACTGAATTCCTGTATTTTCCTGTATTTCCTCTATTTGGGTCTACAATATAAATTTTATTTTAGCTGGTATGATCAGACAGATGAAAAATTCACCCTTTTATAAGGTGTCTGGGTTCTCCTGGCCAACTGATCAGACACCATGTTACAACTCGCCACAAAGTCATGTTCTGGGCTTTTTTTGCAACTGAAAAACTAGGTTCTTATGTGGAGCAAGACAACTACTTACTCTAAACAAAACTTAGGAAGCTTATTTTTCCCTGACTTCATTAATCACTTGGTATTTCAGTTATGAGATGCTGAGTTACAATTAGTATTTTTATTGTTAGTACATGCATAATGGCACTTCTGTGAAGATTTATTTTAATACTATAATTGAGTTCGTGGTGCAGTCTTTGTTAGAAGATAGATGCATTTTGAAATCTCTGTCCTATTTTTATGCCATGTTTTGGTTAGAAGTTTTAGAAGGCTTGATGTCACTGTTGTGTTCTGTTGAGGTTATGTAAGATGTTAAAAAATTATTTGGGAATAAAATATCTGTTGAACCTTTGGGCAGGGGTGGGAAGCCTTAAAACCAAAGCACATAAAAAGCTGTTCTGTCTGTTCAGGAAACACTGTAGCTGTTGAAAGCTAAAGTTCTCAAGTTCATGCAAAAATGAAGTCTTATTTGTGGAATAGTTACGTCTAGAAACATACATGCTTTCTACTATAAAACACATACAGGCTGAGGACACTATCACTTACTGTAATTACTAGCCATAACTAAATTGTAGTAATTGCTTATGCTTCCCTGTATTTATGAAATTAACAATGCACAAGGCTTTCGTCAGAAAACAGTGCAAAGTTGCATCTTAACCAAATGCAGCAAAAAGACAGCAGGTTTGTCCTTGTATAATGAAGTCAAATACCCATGAAAGCCAGATGTAGCAAGTGGTTGATGGTCTGATTTTGGAAATGTGGTCCATGAATGAGATACACATTGAAAAAAATCTCTTATTTTGATGCTGAAAGCTAAGGATAAGCTAAGGATAGCAGAAACCAGAAAAGTTTGTATCACAAAAGAATTCAGGAGGCTAATTCACTAAGATGAAAGTCAGTTCCTATATATATCTATACCCAAAGAAGAGAGAAGCTCTTCATCTGAGTGCTTCCATGCAGTCAAGTTAAAATCTGAACATAAAAAGCTGGATGTAGTTAACCCTTGAGTTACCTTTACTAAACTGGAGCAGTAAATCTAAAGTGGAACACTCCTCTTTAGTGGTTCAGTTTCTGTCTAATATGAAAATGTAAAATAGCTAGGGAAGATCTTCATTGTGTCATGCATAAAAACTAAATCTCTGGAGATATCTCTGGAGAGGCTCAATAAGTGATATGTAAATAGCTTCATATGAAAATTGAAAATATTTCAATATCTTTGCACCTTGAACTATACTATTCCTCTTGTTTCTTTTTTAGATAGGGTAGGAATTCACAGGTGCAAAAGATCAGGTGCCTAGTGAAAGGAACTTCATCCACATGTATGTTGTAGTGATTTCTTATGTGTACAAACAGTCTTCACTGGATGAGGCCGAAGGTCTGTCTTGTTGAGTAGCCTGCCCCTGATGATGAGATGATGACCAAAACCATGTGTAGGGGGAGGTGTGTAAAAGTAAGGCAGATGTGTAGTGATAGTATCTGCTGTGCTCTTACTTTGTCCAGCAATTGGATTGTCTCTCAAATTCATAAAGCTCTGAATAACTTTCAGTGTACACTGAAGACTTCTTTTGAACATCTTCTTTAGATGTTGGCTTTTATACACTGTTCTTTTTCTTTGTGTAGTTGTTAATAAAAACTCCCTGTCAGTCTGTCAGTATGTCTGTTCTAGCTCGTACCTCATATTGTATGAAAACTGAACATTGTTTCAGAATAAGTCTTTTAATGACAGAAAAATGACAACATTGAATTATTGCTAAAAGATCTCCAAAGCTAGAGCAGGATCATAAAGAGGCTGTTGAATTGTTCTGTTGTTTTTTTTTATTCCGTCCTTGAACTTGGTAGTATAACTGTATGTAATGCTGTTTCAGTTTGTTATGCATGTGAATTTGTGGCATCTACTATGCCTATTTCATGCATAATTGCAGGCGCATTTTTGTTGATGTCTGATGTAGTTTCATAGAGCTTGGCCTCTTTTCTTTAAAAAAATAAAGAGGACCAATAAAAAAGCTACATAGTGGATAACTTTTGTAGGATATTCTGTAGGTACTAGTAGTGACTATTGCATTTACAAATGCTTTTTTGTTTCACAGTGCAGCCAAAACGAGATCATGTTCTTCATGTTACTTTTCCCAAAGAGTGGAAGACTAGTGACCTTTACCAGCTTTTCAGTGCCTTTGGTGAGTTTTGCAGTCTGTCCTTCCTTGTACATTATTTTTCCCCCTTTGTCATTAGCAAGTACCTCTGGTTTTGCTTATGCATCTGTGGTTTCAGACTTATTCCTAGTATAGGTAATGGTGCATCACCTTTTGTAATTTTTGAATGATGTCCTGGAGATTTTCTTTGTAATGCTGTGTGGAAAATGTCTGCCTTACTTAACTGCTCTTTAGAAATCTTTTCATGTGATGCTTGTTGAATATAATGAACCTTTAATAATTTTATTTACAACCTCTCCTGGGAGAAGGCAGGAGTTTGTATAGATGGGTAAAGGGAATGGGGATTGGTGTGAAAGGCAGATGGAGGCTTTAGGAATAAGGTTCATCCTGCAGTCTGGGTAAAGGCAGACACTAACTTACAAGTCTAGGCAAGCAAACTTGAAAAATAGCTTGCTTAAAAAATTTCAAGATTGTGAAAACCATTCAAATCAAAAGAAACAAGAAAAAAGCTATCTTATAGTTAGTAGTCCTGTTGTTCCTTTACTAAGTATTAGTATAGAATGTAAGGATATGGAGATCCTAATTAAGTGATATCCTAACTCTTGCAGCAGAAAGGAGTGGTTATGCTTTGCATCCGTGGCTCAGAATAAGAATGATCTTTCATAGAGCCCTATGGTTTCCAGGTTTTGATTCCTGCATAAGGTACTGCTTCAAGAGATCTGTTGGGCTTCCAAATAAGTCTAAGTTTTTTTTTGGGGGGTGCTTCTTTTTTTTTTTTTTTTTTTTAAGAGGTAGCTTCTATTTCTGAAGCCATTTAATGTAAACCAAAAGTTACTAAAATATTTTTTCATTATTTTCCAGAAATACTTGCTTGCAATACTTACTAAAGTAGCTTATTGTTTCATCTAATAGACATTTATATATCTTGTCTTCCTCAAATTCCCAAAGGATTTTAATGGGAAATTGCTTAAAAAAACCCAACTGTTTATCAAATAGCTTTCCTGGGAGGGATCGGTTTCTTATTTTCTCGTTTAAAGAAGTAAAATCTTTGCTTTACATTACATAAGTCTTGACAGCTCCCTATTTGTAAAAATTTTCTGCTTGGCAGTATAGTTTCCCCTTTTTCCTGCTCCCAGTCTTACTTAAAGTTCCACTACTGGTTTTATCCACTGGCATATAATTACTGTAAAACCTGCATATTTTTACATGTGTTTTTAAGCAGATAAGTGACAGGTTGGTGTTCTCTATGATGAAATGGACTTTTTCTCTTTTGGAGACAAGCAAGTGAAAGGGTGTCTGTTTAGCTAGTACTTGATCAGTGTACTGTTGTTTCAAAGTAATGTGCCAGACTTCATGACTTAAGTCAGAGTTTATAGTGTGACAAATGGATTTGGAGCAAACCTGAACCTGACCTCCACTGAAATAATCATTGTAGTATCTCTAACGACTTCTAGTCACCAGTAAAAGGATGAAGTCCCTCAGTGTACTCAGTCTTGTCATTCCTTGCTTGCTGTGGGTCACCATGCTGGTTTATGGGATAATGCTGCTCTTCTCCTCTTCACCTGGAAATGTGACTTGGTAGTCTGTGCAGGGTTTTTGGACCTGTATAAAATTCACCGAATTCCTTCTGACTTTTTGATCTGTACTGGAGCATGATGCCAGTATAATGCTGGGTAGGACTTAATATTCCTGATTGTAGAATGTTACTGAGATTATTATAGAGTTGCCATCAGAGGGGTAAGAAAAAATTGGATATTGTTTCTATAGGCTTTTAAAGACTCAGATATGTCATTGTTCTTTATCAGCTCCTCCCCTTTGTGTGCAAGGCAAGCGCAGGTCACTAGCGCCAGGGGGCAGACTTACACATCCCAAAATACTCAGTTGTAATCTCCCATGAAGCTTCTGATGAAAGCAGTGAGACAGCTGAAGGGGCTGCGGTGTCAGACTCGGAACTGGTTTACCTTTGCTGCTCTAGAAGGGGTGTTCATGATTCTAAAGTCTTTCAGTGCTGCACACATACCAAGTGGACACCTGTTCATGCAAGGTGTTTTCATAGTCTCGTTGGTTAGTGTAGTTTCACTGTACAAGTACTTAAAGTGCTGTGCAGTGACTTAGAACACTTTAGATTCTTCTATTTATGTAGTTCATTTGGTCATGCTGATGTGAAATACGAAGGTATTAAAATAGTATTCGCTGGAATACAGCTTTTGTGTATAGCCTTCACTTCTGTATAAAAGAATATTGGGTGACATGGTTTAATGTGTGGTGTCCCTGCCCATGGCAGGGGGTTGGAACTAGATGATCTTAAGGTCTTTTCCAACCTCAGCTATTCTGGGATGTGTTTGATGGGCTTTGATTAAAACAGCACACTGTGAAAGTATTATAAAAACTGCTGCTTACAAAGTTTGAGTGGCTGGAGTCACTGATGTAGTTCATGGAGCCATAGTGACCTTGAAGATGCATGTATTACTTTTAAAATGTAACTAGTCCTTTCTATGTTTAAATCTTGTTTAATAGTCCAGGCTGCTATACAAGTGAGTTTTAACTGACTCTGAATGCATTTTTGAGATCCACTTACACATTCCATACACTGACATCTGCTCCTGCTAACCGCTGCACCGCAAAATTACTGCTGATAAAAAAAGTGGACCTTGAAAAATGACCCTTTCAAAGGTGACAGTGTTATTCTGAGTTCGTTTTCATATAGACGTGAGCTTTGACTGTTGGGTTTTTGTTTTTGTTTTTTTTTTTGTCTGTATGTGTGTGGGGGGATTTGGTTGGTTTTTGTTTGTTTTTTTTTTGACTCTTTTGTTGTTGTGGGGTTTTAAAAACTTTAATCCTATTTTTCTCTACGCATTTCTGGCCTTTCCTCCTCCTTCTCATGCCAGTGTTTCCTTCATCTGTTCTTGCTTTCTTTGTACCCTGTCTTCCTGCCAGAAAGGTGGAAGCTTTTTAACCCTTCTCAGTTATTCGCTAGGAAAATGTCATGTTTAATATATGCTTCGAGCCTTACTCATAGAATAAAAGGTTCAGCTATATACATTGTCTGATGCAGAGTGCAGAAACTGTTAGCAGTTCTATCATAGTGTCAATGTAGTCAAGTTTCCTTTCTTTTTAATTCTAAGAAAAAAAAAAAGGAATATATAAGTAAACTTTTTTTGGTTAAATGAAGGCGTGTATAGTCCTAGTATGTATCCTAAATGCTTAATTGCCAGTAACAGTTTAGGAAATGTGTTAAGAACAGAGCCAAAGTAAAAGAACTTTTCTGCCTTCCAGCAATCTGTAACCTGGGCACTCATGAGCTAGAGGTCATACTTGCATTTTTTAGTTTGAGCTTTCCACGGCTTTCTGAGGATTCTGTGTGGTTCTTTATCCCATGTATATTTTTGTCATCTGCAGCACTTGGTTGCAGTTCCCTACCTGCAATTAAGCATTATGTGATTTTTTATTTTTTTTTTAACTGTGTATTTTATGTTTCTTAGTTGTTTTATAATGAAATAGTGAGTACATCTTTCTTGTAATTTCTATTCTTATATCTTCCCCTTAGATATTCCTTAGAACTCTTTTGAAGGCTGAGTCACAGTTTACTTGGTCTCTGATATGGAAGTCATCTGCTCCTAATTGAGTGAAGATGTTTTATTTCACTTGATAATCTTTTAATTGACTTTTTTTTTTCTTTTAGCAAGGCACATTGCTTGACATTGCATGTAGTAGCAGACAGACAAGGGGTCATATGGGATAGCAGTGGTGTTCTTCAAAGTAATTGAAGACATTTTATCTGTTCTAGAATTGTAGAGAGAGAAATCTTCAGTTTGTTTTTTTAGAGCTGGCATTCTGTTCCGTTGCTGTATGTGATTAATTTGGATCAGCCTTGCAGTGAGCTGGCATGTGTTGATGTTGATTGCTAAATACTATATTTCAAGTGCAGATGCATTTGCTTTTCAGATCTTTATTGCCCTTTCACCATACTTTTGAAATGCACAATATTTATTGAATGCTTAGCAGTATTGCTGAATGATCTAATTTATTAATCGCCTCTTAAATTCATTAGTAATAATGAAATGTTACATAGTCTGAAAAGAGTATCTTGAAGTGTGGAGAACTGCATAAGAGCAATTTTTTTCAGTTCTCTTCAGAATGCAGCTTAGTGTCCACTCTTTAATGTTTGACTTGTTATTAAAATAATACATTTTAAATGTATGAACCTGAGCGTAAAGGTAACACATGTGGGCAGGTATTGGAACCCTTACTTATTTAAAATGCTAAAGTAATTTAGAGTTCAGCAGCCTTTCTGCAGCAGTGAATAAGTATCTGATACTGAAATGATGTGCCATCAATGGGTTGGGTTTTTACTTACTTCTTTTTAATTGGCACTTGGTGAAAATATGAGCACTGAAGTCCATTTGGGCAGTAGCTGAACTCCTGAAGGAGATTTTAGTCCATCATTAACTGTCTTTGATATTTTACACTAAGGGCACAATAAGAAATTTTTTTTCAGGAGAAGTTTTCTTCTCTTTTGGTCTGTTCAGGGTGGATATGGAAATAATTAACTGTATATGTAGGAAAGGTACAGAATCAGGACAGCACTTCCCCATTGAAGAATTACATAAGAGTCTGGTCTCAGATGTCTCAAGTGATCGCTTAGAAAATTTTGTCATTAGTAATGCAGAAAAGAAGGACTTGATACACAAAAAAAATTCAGAGCAAAAACTTGTCAATGCACTTGGAACAATGTTAAATTGTTCCATAATTTCTAATATTGAAAGGAAGTTCAGCGTTGGGGTCCTCACAAATGCCCTGTGATTTTTGGGTTGTAATGATAAATCAGCTTGGGCTTCTCCTGTGTTGTGAAGTGTTAAGTGTCCTTCTAAAAGGCTGTTATCTCTACAGCAAAGACCCTTACCCTAAAGGCAGCAGAGATCTATGTTCTTCAAAGACTGAATTATTAGAAATTGAATTTTATTTGCCCTACAAGTGTAGGCTCTTCTTAAGAGCAGCCTTAGCCCTTTAGTACAGGGAAATGTCGGAAACTATATTGAATTAATTATGGCTTTGGCAATAATAAAAATGATAATAACTTAGTCCTAAATAGGTAGCTACTCAAACGTATAGTATGCAAACTGAATCTAACTTTTTTGATCATGCTTTTATAATTAGAAAATCTTTATTATCTGGCTACACTTCAGAAGAGACTTCTATAACCTTGTAACCTGTAGGCTGAATTAGATTTACATCTGAAACATCTGAAAAGACATTTTAAGCCATTTTGCATCCTTGGTTTCATTGTTGTCATGTCTGAAGGTTAAATGGTGGTGTAACATTATATATAATTTGATTTCGTAGCCTACCTGAAAAAAAGAATTGCACCAATTTTCAGTATCTGAATAGTATTAACAGTAGAGCACTTAGATGAGGACAGGAGATGTGAGTGGATTACAGACTCTAATAAAACCTTGTGTCTGGAATGAGAATCCTTTTCTCAGCTTTTGCTTGATTATGAGCTGTTCTAGTGCTAATGTGACATTTTGAGCCATTCACAAAGAAAGTGTTCTAACTGCTTCATGAATGGAGTAGCTTATTTCCAGTCACTGTTCCATTGCAATAGCTTTTGAATGAGGTCTGTGATTTTGTGCATTTGTCCTCATATTTGCTTGAATTAAGTTTTCATTGCACATCCAGGAAATGGAAAACAGTGGGATCCAAACAAATCAAAGTTTGAAGATCTAGTGTGTTGCAGTAACTGGAGTTCTCCACTTGCATGATCAGTCTTCTGCACCTCCCCACTCTACTGGAATTTCTAATCTTGGGTGTCTGTATTAGTAAAGGCACAGTGAGTGGTAACTGGAGCTTGTTCACAATGTGTCTTTTGGAATGCAGCAGTTCTGAAGAATGGATTGTTTTTAAAAGTCAAAGAGATGTTCTTTATTTTAGTACAGAGCTGAAATTTCCCAGAAGAAATTGCTTCAATTTTTGTTGTAGAATTATATAGAACACATGAAGGGAGGACTAAAAACCCCCTAAGATTACTTGAATTGTTACAAGATTTATTAAAAATAAAGCTACGATGAAGCCGTTGAATACTCTGGGAGTGAAAAAGGCATTAGTTGGGTCTCTTCCCTTTTGGTCCTTAGTCTAGTGTGTCTGAAGGTATACAGGATGATTTGCAGCCCTAACAGTCACAGCTTTCTGAACAGTTCCAGGCTCATATACAATTGTGTATGTGCTATGCACCTTTACAGTGGACAAAAGCCTTCTCAGGTGAAGTTATTCTTGGTTGACTGTTATGTCATGGCACATCAGATCAAATCTGTGACTGAGCCTAAGATAAATATAGTAATTTATTCTGTCTTTTCTAGGTAACATTCAGGTTTCGTGGATTGACGATACATCAGCATTTGTTTCACTGAGCAAGCCAGAACAAGTACAAATAGGTAAGTGTTCCTGAATTTACTTCAGTAGTAAGACTTGACTTCAACTGGCTGCTGCAAAATGCACTGAGCCAATGGGGTCTGTGATTCTAGTGACAGAACTATTGACTTGGTTCAGATGCTATAAGAAGAATAAAATTTTTATAGTACCAGCAAATGTGTTGTAGCAAAAACAACCACCCTCAACTGGACTTGGTGAGAGTTCGTGTTTCATTCCATGACCCTGTAAGTACCTGGTCCTGTAGACAGAATAATGCCAGTTTCTTCACTTGATGTAGTATTTATTGAAGTAATTTATTGTTACTTTGCACAAAACAGAGCTATCAAAGACTTTTATGGTCTTTCCTTCATATATCCTTTGGAGTGATCTGCATGTTTGCTTTGGTTGACATTTGCAAGTAACAAATGCAGTGGAAAGCCATTTGGTGTACTGTAGAACGCATGCAGAATAATAGTCTCCTGACAGTCTGAGCTGCTCATGTGCTTACAGTTGTGTATTAATAATGTGCAAGGTCTCCAGACCTTAATTTTTTAATTCTTATTTGAACTTTTGAGCCTAGTTGAAAAAAGTTCGTGGGCAGAAGTTCCACACAAGTTTTACATGTTTAACTTGTTTTCATGAGAGTCCCTCATGGTTTGGTTTTGCTTCTTGGTTTGGATTTTAGGAGAGGGATTAGTTTAAAAAAAAAAACAAACAAACTTGTGTGTGACTACATAGATACTGTTGGTGAGCCCACATTCCTCATTCAGAGAATTAGGACAGAGAGCACTATTTTACTATCTACAGTTGTGCAAGGTACTCTAAAAAGAGCCGTTTCTAATATAAGTGAACGAAAGCATAGAGCAAAACATTATCTATATACTATAAGAAGAATATGGAATAACTAACACTCCTGAGAAATCATCAAGAAGTAATCAAAAAGCAAAGAAGAGACCAACATATCTGAGTTCACTGAAAATATTGCTTCAGATATGAGGAAAAACAGTCTTTTCAGACTGTAGATTTTTGGATTGGTTCTTTGTTTGGGTTTTTGTTGTTCTTGGTGTTAGTTGGGTGGTTTTTTTGTTTGTTTGTTTAGTGGATTTATGTGTTTGTGGGTTGTTTTTTGTTGTTTAAAGATTTTTGATTGGTTGGAGTTGGATCACTGAGCTCTTTGTTGGGTTCTGTAGTTCTTTTGGGCATGTATTTGAGGACTGACCCATAAGCTTACTTCTGGTTACAATGATCAGGAGATGGACCTTATACATGATTAGTTGAGATATGTTATAGTAATGCCATCCCTATTTACTGAAAAGCATATATCAACTGCTGTGGAGCTGGTAAGAACAGCAGTATGCATAGCACTTTTGATTAAGTGACTGAAATGTTGCATGTAAGAGCTTTCCTACCAGTATTCCCATGATTAAGTTCTAAAATGAGAAAAAAAACAACCCCAAACCCCACAAAATTGAATTAGAAAGCCCCACTGTGTTCACCAAATAAGAAGCTTTCAGGTTCTGGATGCATTATAGAGTGCATCTCTCTAATTAATTATTAACATTCTGTGAGTGTTCATCATACTTCCTCATACATACGTGCCTGCAAAGGATTTTGAGTGCTTACCACAGCCTCCTTACAGCAAATGTTCCATATCAGCAAAAGCCACTGTTTCTTCATCCGTATGTAGATGTAAGAACTGTGTAACTTCTAGTGAGAAATTCCAGGTAAAGAATTATGTCAAAACAAATGTGACCCTATTTTAGCTAGCTCTGTAACTCAGGAAAACATTGCTAGCTCTTCCTGCATGTGTTGTCTTAGTTTCCTATCTCTGAAGCCTTCATAATTTGTGAACTGTGTATTATAGTTAGTGATCATACCAGCACACCATCAAATACTGTTCATGTAGCAGTGAGTACATTGCAAGTTTGGAGGGAATAAACCTTAATCTAAACTATTTTACGTAAATATGTGCTCAGGTGTGCAGTCACAAATGATATGTTTGTGAGCTAGCAGCGTATCTCAAGTATCTGAAGCTTTTTATTTCAGACCTGGTTAATCTTATTCAGAGTTTGACCTCCATGTGTGAGGTATAGGCTGAGGGGAAAAAAATGAGTGAAGGTTTGGAGTTGTTCTACCTTTTTGTCATTCCAAGAGAACTTGTCTTTCTGATGAAATACAACGAAGTTGTAATTTCTGCTTTTTAGTTCAGTTGTTCTGATATACAGAATATCTATAAGTCACTGCCTTCCTTTTCCCTCCTCTTTTCAAGTTGAATGCTAGTTTCTCTGAGTGGGACTTGCAAGATTGTTTTCAATATAAAACATGCATGTTATGCCATTTCATATGCTGAAAGCCTTCCTAGATGCTACTACAGTAACTTCACATCACTGTCACCTCAGTTACATGCATGTCTGAATGCTTGACATTCACATTCACCACCACTTTTTGTTAGTTATTATTTTTTGTTACAGCAACTACATATTGTAGAAATAATGGAAAGTCTGCAGAGCATTTATACTGAATCTTTCTGGTACTGCTCTGTGTGTGGGTCTTTTTTTATGCTTCAACAGACTTGTTCTGTGGGCTGCATGCTAGGAAACAAGTTATTTGTTTGAAAGCTTAGGTGATTATAGTCTTTTATAGATTTTTATGAAATCAGGTTAGTAAAATCTTTTATACTGAAAGCAGCCGGGCAACCAGCTGGTCTTAGAGCAACCTCAGTTACCAAAAAGCTGTGTGATTTTTGCTGTAAGATTGTTTAAACCTCTTGGGTTTGGTTTGGTTGTTTTGTTGTTGTAATAAATACATCATAAAATCAATTCTGTTATGCTGTTTTCTGATCTTAAATTCTTTAATGAGCTGCTTTGGCACTGGAAGTCACTATTCGTACTCATGATTTAGTGAACTGTGTTTAAGTGAAGAACCTAGGAAAAACTAATTATGTGGCTTGGGTTTTAACCTGTTTATATAAATATGTCTGCATCTTCTGGACTATATGAAAAGCTTTGGAGAATTGTCAAACAATATGATACAGTGCAAGATGTTGCTGCAGACATATGTCTATGCTTACCTCTTAAAGATGTTTCTGGCTTTGAGTTGGTATTAGTATGTATAGTTAACAAAGCACACATGTTGCAGAAACATTTGTGGAAAATAAATGGATTAAGAACATGAAGAGTGTGTGGAAGTTTCCCTGCATTGTTAAAGTGGTCAGATTTCCATTATGCATGAGTCTAAGCACTGTCAAAACATAGACTTCTTTTGCATCCTTTTAATAAGGTAGCATGTGATTTGTTCATATTACTAGATTTGTGCAACTGTATCTAAGGGTTGTATTGAATTAATTTTCATGCTCATGCTTAACTTTTACATCAAACAAATGACAGTTTTCTTAAAAAATGGCACTCATATAAGCTGTTCTATGCTGTTTCTGTTGCTTCTAACTCCCCTGGCTTCAGGTATTTTGAGTGGACTAAAACCATATTCATATACACCCTGGGAATATGTTGGATTTCTCATGTTAATATGCATAGAAATCCATCTCCAATATGGAAGTAATAAAATGTATCTGTTCATCCCCCAGTGCTCTTTAAAACAATGTTCCTGAGTTACATTATACCATGGATGATAACCATTAAGACCTAGTAAAAAACTGATTGATAAAACATTGGTCCGTACGCTTTTCTGTTTAAAAAATATAAATCTGGTTAGCTGAATTAAACTAATGAGTAGCTCTTCAAATTTCACATCGTAATCAGTAGTTTGTATATGGCCAGGAAGAATGCACATTCCAATTTTTACTTGTTAAAGTTTTACCCTGAAGGACCTACAAATCTTTGCATAGTCTAGTAAGACTTGTTCCCTCTTCCACTTATTTTCCTCTGAAAAAATAAGTAGGGGAAAGGTCAGTATTTTTATAAGCAATTTTAGAGCTGCTTCTAACTTTCAAACTGCATATAGCATGCTTAAAACACGTAAACCAGAAACCTTGGGGAAACAAGAAGCAAACCCCTTAACTGTCTCATTTTGCATCTTACAGTAATATCCAACAATCTTCACTTTATTTGGTTATTCATGTGACCTGCATATTGGCAGACTCTCTAATTTATTATGAATAGAAAAGACTTGTTCTCGTACAAAATCTTATTACTCACGGTTAGAACATAAACTTCAGCTTGAAGTGGAAGCTGCATCAAGAGAAATGTTAGTTAACCATTTCATAATCACCCTGGGGTTTAAGTGCCTCCTGTGTATATGTATGCATGCTGTACCTGTATGTTCAGTGGGGAGACATTATTCTTGAGTTCCAGTGGGCTGTGTTCTATGTGTCACTTACCACTGTTGAAGTACTATGTTGTCATGTGAAAGCCAGTACTGAGTTTGTGAAAGCTGGGTTTAGATGGCTCTCATTTGACACTTTTTGCAATATGCTCTGCTGTAAACCGATTTCCAAGTTACAAGCAGCTGAAGACAATAATGGACTATAAAGACAGTTTGTTTTCTGTTGAGATTTGTTGCTCAAGGTAGGTAATTAAGAATGCGTTAAATGGTTGATATTCCTTTAGTTGGATGTCTGGGAAGCAGAAGCAAGTTTTGGGGTGCAACTTCTGGCTCTTAAAACTTTCAGCTTGCTAGATAAGCTTGCTTTTGGGTGCTGTTCAGCTTTGAGTATTTATAAAGTTGGCTTTTCATCTGGAAAAGTTGGTATGAAATAAGTCCTGTTTCAATGTTTCTTGACTTACAGGGGTCTAGACTTCATAAAAATAGTCTGGAAGTGGTGGGGAAGATGGGAGAGACTTCAGCTTCTCTTAAATTTAAACCTGAGTGTTTTACTGTAATTAATAAATTGATGTAACCTGAAGTATTTCAGTGTTTTGATCGTTTCAGTATCTAAACCATTCTGGGCAGTTAACTATTTTGTGAGTCCTCAGTTAATGCTTTGTATCAATGATAAGCCCTTGCTGTTCATGGTTTACTTGAATTTTGTTGCCAGCCAACTTTCAGTGACTATTTAGGTCACTGG